GACCCTGGGGTGAGAAGGAGAAGGAAGAGTCAGCTTTGTGCATCTGCCATGCAGGGAGAGCAGCAATGCCAACATTCTCCTTCTCTTTCATCCTCCTTTTATAGCCTCAGTGAATGGGAAACTGTGACCAGTGAACAACAGAGAAAAGACAGTTCTGCGATGGTGTTCCACTTGGTCAAGATTTCTAAAATGACAGTCGCATTGAATTGAAATACGGTGGGAATTTTATAGAAGAACTATCTTCTTGTCAGTTCTGAGTAAGCCCTATTTCTTTTCTTATTTGGAATAAGTAATGAATCAAAAGTACCAAAATATTTTTTGTTTGTCTTCATGTAGTAGGTTCAAATATTTATCCCTACCAGAATTCTGTTTTGTAATTGTATATGTATATTGGGGGGAGTGTCTATTTTTAAACATTTAATATTTCTTTTCTGAATTAATAATTAATAACCTTTCAAAACAGAAAGCATCAGACTCGGACATTTGTACTGGTAAATTCCATAAAGTATTTAAAGAAGAAATGATATCAATTCTATATAACATGTTCCAGAAAATAGAACATTTTGTAACTCATTCCAGAAAGTCAGCATAACTCTCATGCCAAAGTCAGACAAAGATATTTCAATAAAGAAATAATATAGACCATTATAGACCATTCTTTCTCATAAACATAATTACAGAAATCTGCAAAGCAGTATTAGCAATAAACTCCAACCATGTATAAAAATAATTGTCTACCATATCTAAGTGGAATTTATTCAGGCATGCAAAGCTGGTTCTCCATTTGAAAATCAATTTATATAATTCCAGTTGCACAGAAGAAACTAGAATAAATGAAATCATCCTCTCAAAATCAAAATCACATTAAAGGCTTCAGAAGAAAAATCATATGATCAGAAAAAACATTTGACAAAATCCTATACCCATTCATAATAACTATCAGCAAACAGAAAAGAAGGAAACTTCCTCACCTTGATAAAAACCATCTACAAAAAACATTCATCTATCATATGTAATAAAGAGAAACTACATGGTTTCCCCCTAAGACCAAGACCAAGAAGAAAAAAGAACGCTCCTTCTCACCATGCGGACTCAACATCATATTGGAATTCCTAGCTAATGCAATAAAACAAGAAAAGAAAATAAGAGTTATATATGTTGGAAAAAAAGAGATAAAACTGGCTGCACCAGGGCTGGGGATGTGGCTCAAGCGGTAGCGCGCTCGCCTGGCATGCATGCGGCCCGGGTTTGATCCTCAGCACCACATGCAAACAAAGATGTTGTGTTCGCTGAAAACTGAAAAATAAATATTAATAAAACTCTCTCTCTCTCTCTCTCTCTCTCTCTCTTTAAAAAAAAAAAAAAAAAAAACTGGCTGCACCAATTTGCAGTCCCACCAGCAATGTATGAGTATACCTTTTCCCCCACATCTTCGCCAACAATTATTGTTGTTTGTCTTCATAATAGCTGCCAGTCTGACTGGAGTGAGATGATATCTTAGAGTAGTTTGGATTTGCTTTTCTCTGATTGCTAGAGATGATGAACATTTTTCCATATATTTGTTGATTGATTGTATATCCTCTTCTGAGAAGTCTCTGTTAAGGTTTTTGGCCCATCTATTGATTGGATTATTTGGTTTTTTTGGTGCTTGGCTTTTTGAGTTTTTTATATACCCTAGATATTAGTGTTCTATCTGATGTGTGAGGGGTAAATATTTGTTCCCAAGATATAGGCTCTCTATTGATCTCACTGATTTTTTTTTTCTGACAAGAAGCTTTTTAGTTTGAATCCATCCCATTTATTGATTAATTAAAACCAAGAATTAATTTATTGATTAATTTATTGATTAATTAAAACCAATTCTTGGTTTTAATTCTTGCACTATAGGAGTCTTATTAAGGAAGTTGGGGCCTAATCCCACATGATGAAGATTAGAGTCTACTTTTTCTTCTATTCAATGCAGAGTCTCTGGCTTAATTCCTAGTTCCTTGATCCACTTTGAGTTGAGTTTTATTCATGGTGTGAGATATGGAGATTCCTTGGAAAACTGAGAATGGAGCCACCATTCAACCCAGCTATCCCTCTCCTCGGTCTATACCCAAAGAACAGCATACTACAGGTACACACCCACATCAATGTTTATAACAGCACAATGGACAATAGCTAAACTGTGGAACCAAGCTAGATGCCCTTCAGAAGATGAATGGTTAAAAAAACATGTGGCATATATACACAATGGAATATTACTCAGCAGTAAAAGAGAATAAAATCGTAGCATTTGCAGGTAAATGATTAACGTTGGAGAATATAATGCTAAGTGAATTTAGCCAATCCCAAAAAACAAATGCCGAATGTTTTCTTTAATATAAGGTGACTGACTCATAGTTGGGTAGGGAGGGGGAGCATGGGAGGAACAGATGAACTCTAGATAGGGCAGAGAGGTGGGAGGGGAAGTGAGGGGGCAGAGGGCTAGCAAAGATTGTGGAACGTGATGGACATCATTATCCAAAGTACATGTATGAAGACACGAATTGGTGTGAACATACTTTATATACAACCAGAGATATGAAAATTTGTGCTCTATATATGTAATAAGAATTGTAATGCATTCCACTGTCATTTATTTTTTCAAAAATCAATTTTAAAAAGATATAAAACTATCTTTTCTTGAACATGGCATAATTGGGCTGAGGATGTGGCTCAATAGTTAAGCACTCCTGGGTTCAATCCCCAGTAACCAAAAACAAACAAACAAACAAACAAAAGAAAAGAAAAATGGCATAATTGTCTACATGGGAAATCCCAAAAAGTAAAAAAAAAAAAAAAAAAAAAAAACCTATTGGAACTCATAATCTAGCAAGGATTTAGGAAACAGAGTTAACATACACAAAAAATAAATTTCTTTCTTAAATACTAGCCATAAACAATTAAAACTTGACATTTAAAACAGATCATTTGCATTAGCACCAAAATTGAAATATTTAGTTACAATACATATAAGACACATACAATAACATCTATGTTAGGAAAATTACAAAACTTTAATGAACAAAATCAAAGAACACTTGCATAAATGTAGAGATATACATGAGAAGAAAGATTTAATATTGTCATTTTCCCCACCTGATTTATAGATTCAACATAATCTTAATGGTAATTCTAGAAAATTACTTTGAGCTATCAACAAATTGTCTAAACTTTATATGAAAACATAAAAGACCCAGAATAGGAAGATAAATATTAAAGAACAAAGTAGGAGGATTAACAAATACCCACTTCACTTCAAGACTTACTGTAAACGTACAATAATCAGAACAGTGTAGTATTTTTGAAAAACTAGATTAATGTAACAGAATAGAGAGCCCCAAAATATGTAACTACAGTGAACTGATTATTAATAATTGTGTTACTCATAATTGCTAAAATGTAGAAGCAATTAAGATGCCTGTCAATAGTAAATCAATAAACAAATTATGGAACATCCATATGATTAAACTTTATTCAGTGATAAAAGGAAATAAACTATTGTATTGAGTTATGAGGGAATTTTGAGAAGTCATAAATGCATATTACTAAGTAAAAGAAGTTGACCTAAAAATGCTACATACTATGACTCCAACTATATAACACTTTGAAATAGGTAAAGAAGATAATGAAATATCAATGATTGGATGATGTGAGGAGGGATGGGTAAGTGTAACACAAACCATTTTTAAAACTGTACAAAATAAACAGTGAGCCCTGGTGTAAACAATGGATTTTAATGTGCAATATCAGTATTTATTCATCAATTTTAACAAATATACCATTCTAGTACAAGACATTATGTGTGTGTGTGTGTGTGTGCGGGGGGGGGGGTCTATTTCTTAACTTTTTGTTCTTTCTGTGCCATTGTTCTGTAAACCTAAAAAAAATTATAATGCAACATATGCACGTGGTAAGAATTCCAATTGTCTAGAAGAAAACTGAATAAATAAAATCATCCTCTCAGGTTGGAACTGTAGCTCAGTGGCAGAGTGCTTGCCTAGCATGTGTGAGGCACTAGGTTCGATCCTCAGCACCACATAAAAATAAACAAATAAAGACATTCTATCCATTTACAACTACAAAAAATATATTTTTAAATTATCCTCTCAAAATAAGTCAATTGGTTAGTACTGAAGGTGAAATTATGAGAGCATGAGTTAACAAGAATATAGGAAACAAAAAATAATACTGAAGTTGCCTGGCTTTAGGGAGTGAATGGAAGGTAAGAATGGAACCTTGCAGAGCAATGTGAAGAGGAAAAATGTCTGAGCAAGGTAGAAAGGCTAGAAGCTGTAGGGAGGGAGATGTCTAACATTCAGTTAAACTCTTAGAACTTCTTTTATATAAACCCCTGTGCACCTTTACCAAAACCAGGAGTAACACTTAATGTTCTGACAATAGATACACTGATGAGAGACAGAAGGAGAGAGAGAGAGAGCGGGGGCTGGGGGTTAGATATACAGGTAGACGTTGTGTTTGAGAAAAGGGACTAATTTCCACAATTAGGTTGATGATGGAGTAGAAATAAAAAGACTAGAGACACTGAATGTAAATCAAGAGTACACTGAAGCTGGTCTCGTGACAAATGCCTGTAATCCCAGCAGCTCAGGAGGCTGAGACAGGAGGGTAGCAAGTTCAAAGCCAGCCTCAGTAATGGTGAAGCGCTAAGTAACTCAGTGAGACCCTGTCTCTAAACAAAATACAAAATACGGCTGGGGATGTGGTTTAAGTGCTCCTGAGTTCAATCCCTAGGGCCAAAAAAAAAAAAAAAAGTACAATGGAGACAATAACTAACCAGACTTAGCCCTGAGAACATAAACCCTTTCCCATCTACTAATCCCCAAAATTTTAGAGAAATCTGGAGATGGGGTGGTCACTAGACAGCCACAGAGCATGGAACGAACTTTGGGCCAACTTTATCTTTTCTGTTCTCTACTCTAGTTGACATCTGCATAATGCTTAAAATTTCTTACTTGTATGTTGAGTGATCTTTGTTTTTCTTGTTAAGTAGAGAATATTCTGTTGGGTCTTTAGAAAACAAAGGTTTTGCTCTCATACTTTCCTCTTGAGTTTCACTTTCCATTTCTCTTTTAGAAGGAGAAAGACAGTTGTCAATATGCCAATGTTTTGCCTAAAAAACAACAACAAAGAAATCTATCTTATTTTTATAAAATATATTTTCATCAAATATCTTTGTGATTTACTATGTATTATATTACTAATTGATGCCCTGGGAATATGCACAAACAGAAAATGACTTTGACCAGACTCCCATCTATAAGGAGCTTACAATCGTAGGAGGAGGTGAAACATTGTATTAATAAAGGCAGAAAATGAGATGTTATAACAAGGAAACAGAAATTCATTGAAAAGTCAATAATAGACTGAAAAAATTTTATAGCCACTTCCACTTTAAAGTCTTGGATAGCAAACTGTATATTAATTAAGAACAAAAAACAAAACTTTCATTGAAAAATTGCCAGAATTAAATTTTCTTTGCACACTACTTTCTCAAGAACCTCAAAATACAATCTAAGTATTAATTTTTTCCCAGAAAAACATGTGTTACATGATAGTTTTCACATATCAGATTTTGCCAATAATTCTTAATATGCACCCATCTAGCAAAAGTTTCACACTGACAAGTTCTTTCATATTTTAAATACAAGACCAATTTCCTTATCTTGTATCAATTCATATTGTACACACAGGAATGCACCATTGAACACTGCCTATGTGTTAGAAGAGAAGCATTAGGCACTCCAAGGATATTTGACTAGCCTTCAAACTGATCAGTTTGTCTTCAGAATTTGTCTTCAGTAAAGTAAAATGCCTGTAAGGGCAGGGAGATAATGTCAATGTGTGGATTGATCTTCATAGAATAAGTGCATAACAAATAGCAAATTAAATTTGGCGTCTGTATTCAAAAGCAATAGGGAAGAGAAGGGACTACACTCAATTTCAAAGTAAGTGACTCATGTAAAAGAGGCTGTGATGATGTGAAAATAGTCACACTGTGTCCTCCAAGAGTTCATGTGGTAGATGTTTGGTCCCCAGTGTGGCTATATTGAACTAGAGTGTTGAACCTTTAAGAAACAGAGTCTACGATGGGAGGTCTTTAGGTTGTTGGTGGGGGGATGCCTTCGGAAGAGATTAATTCTTGTGGCACGCTGAGACAGCTCTATCAAAAGCAAGCCTACAGTTCCTTATTGTCTTTTCAGCAGGCCTTCCCAGCTCTCTGGCTTCCTATCCCACCTGCCTTGTGACCTCTCCATCTCACAGTGGCTCCTACATCTCTAATGTCATCTTCCCTGAAGTGGTGAAGCCAAGGCCTTTATCAAAACCATGCTGTTTGAACTTTCAACCTCCCAAATTCTGAGCTTAATAAACCACTCTTCTTTGAAAATTACCTAACTCCAGATATGTCATTTTAATAACAGAAAGCAGACTAATACAGGGGCCATAATAACTCTCGGGGAGTGACATATGCTCTTTTTCAAGAGAAGAAATCTTTTATCTTTACATGACATTGCTTAATGTTTAATTCAAATTGCAAGCACTAAGTGAGCAGGCATAGCCAAAGTCCCTGGCCATAAAATCAATCTGATGAGGAGAGGAACCTGTAGATAAACTCTGCCCAGCACAAACAGCAGTTAGTACTTACAGAAGGGCACTAAAGAATTGCAGGCATCATCTAATTACTTCTTATCCCATCATCATCTGCCAGCTTCCTGGGATAAATGTGTATTCAAGGATAAATCATCATCACCCTGTTTCTTCAGCTCTAGAAATAGCCATGCCATAGCACTTACTTTTAAAAATCTAACTTGAAAACTAGCCAAAGATCAATAGCTATGTCACAAAAGCAATTCAAAGTTATTTTTTAAAAATCTTTTTTCATGAAGTATACGAAATCGCATTGCAATAAATTTTAAATCCTTTAATCAGATTGCGTGTGATTGGGAGATTAAGTCAAGGTAGGAAATCAAAATACATTACTGCTTATCCTGTTTTCATTACTACTAGACCCGTATTAATTCAACTGAAAGACAAATGCTACACTCAAGTGTGGGCAGGAGTCAGTCGCTACATTGTACAGATCGAATTTGTTCAGGAAGAATTATTCTGATCCTATTATTTTTACTCATTGAGCCCCTTCTCCTTATCTATGTACTTGGGTTTGCCTTCCATAATGTTTTCTTTCTGTAAAGGATATCTCTTCTTATTCATCATGAGCCAGACATTCACTGTTGCTATTTTCCAGTACCTGTTCATTCATACCCTCCTCTCCCCTTCCTTCCTTCTCCTCCCCTTCTCTGCCCCCTCTTCCCTTCTCTTCTTTTTCCACCTGACTCTTCCCTTGACGACCTTCTCTTTCCTTCCTTTCTCCTTCCTCTCCCCTCCCCTCTTTCCTGTACCCCTTGAAACTAGCAGTACCCATATTCAAGGCAGTTTGACAAAAGTGAATCGTTCTTTAAAATAAAATCAATACAAGTCTCAAGCAGAAGGGACAAGAAAGCCCAGAGTCCTCAGCTTTGTCAGCCTCATGGTTCCAAAATGATGCAGCTCTTGTGGCTCTACTCCTGTCAATTGGAAGGGGGGAAAGGCACTATTTATAATTTATAAAGGATTCTGGGGGATGAAGTTCTTCATATTAAAAAAAAAAAAGCAAGCAAACAAAAACCTAATGATCTGATGAGGAGTTACCAGTATACAATCAGTAACAGTACTTAGGACTTCAGGAAGGGCACTGAAGATTCCACTCAACTAATTTCCTTTTGTCCCACAATCCCAGTTTCCTGGGATAAATGTGTATCATGGATAAACCATCCTCACCCATGTTATGAAATACCAATGACATAAAAATGAATAGTTTAACTAGGACACATTTCTTAATTAAATTAAAATTTAGGAACAGATTGCATTTGCTAGGCACAGTTTATATGTTACCCTTACCTAGGCATGGTCTTATTTTTTGTTTCAACCCATCTAAGGGATGGATACACCAGACCTCACCCACTTGGTGACACTTCATTTCTTGACCTGTCATTCAAACTCCCCCTCGTCTTTCCAGAGCCCTGTGGCTGTCTGCCAGCATCAGCATTACATGGACTTTTTCAATTGCCAGAAGCAGGCTTCCGACTTCTCTCCTACGCAGATTAACAGTCATGTCCCACTCATCTCATCCACCACACACCTACCCACACACCCTTTGAGCTTCCACTCAGCTGCTGTTTTTCCTGATTGAGAAAAGTCTAGCACTTGCCTTATTTATAGAGTAGAAGACACTGATACAGCTCACAAGTGTTACATGGAGACTCCCACACTGCTCAGCCAAACACAGGTCCACCTCCCTAGACTATTTTCTGATTTACCATAATGTTCTATGTCCCAAAGGGTTGCAGAGAATTCTTTCAGCTCAGATTGACATTAGCAAACTGACTTCACCAATACAGAAACATCAAAGCTTTTCTTCCAACACTAAGAGAATCAGGTACTCCCACAGCATGATATTGGCACATGAGGCCACTGAAAAGAACCAAATTAGGTGGCCGAACAGAACAGGGTTTCAGCTTAAACTCACTCCAACATGTTTGAACAGTACTGGTTAAAACCAGCCAGATATATTATGTTCCCACAGTACAAAGGGAACAGGAACAGAGCCCCCATGAAAACAAGAACAAAAAAAGTGAAACAATGAATATTCCCTTTCTTCCTCACCTCCCACTTCTGTTTTATTTCAGTCAGGAACAAGTCAGACCTTAATTTCATGGAATGAAAGGGTTAAAAGCATGTGCTCTAAAGTGAGCCAGCATGGGTAAAAGGGCAAAAGTCGGCCATCATGAGCTTCTTTGAGCTGAGAATTCACTCAAACTCTCTGTGACTCTGTTTTGTTATCCATATAGTAGAAATAATGGAGCCTCTACCCTCATGGAGTAGACCATTGTGAAAATTGAAAGAGATAATTCATGTAAAGATCTTAGATATTCTGAGTACACACAAAATACCCAGTAAATATTAACTATTACATTTGAAAAAATAAACCAGGAAATGAATAGGGAGATTTGTCTTTTTTCCAAAATGTTACATATCTGATTATTACCTTTATTATTATTTGATAGCCAGAATCACCTGCCTAATGATAATGTTAATTTTATCCATATTTTATATATATTAATTTTTTTTAGTTGTTGGTGACCTTTATTTCATTTGCTTATTTATATATGGTGCTGGGAATCGAACGCAGTGCCTCAGATGTGCGAGGCGAGCTCTCTACCACTGAGCTACAACTCCAGCCCCATATTATATTTTTACTAAATCTTGAACATGAATTTATTTATTTTAGAAAAGAAAAATTTCTCAGAAATCCTAAAATATTTTGAGTCGTACTAAACATGTCTTTAAATATGTCTTTCTGTGTCTCTAGTGTCCTCCATTTGGTGGAACTACTGCATCTAATGGTAGACAGGATAAGAGATGCCTGGAACTAGAGCTTCAGAAATATTAGGTCAGTTCTTTCAAGACTGGTAAGCTTCAAATGGAAATCAGCCCAAGTTCATACTGAATGCCAAGTAAATACTCCAATAAGAAAGGAACAGTATTTCTACCTGACCAAAGATCCAAACAGGAGCATTGCAGATTCCAGTCACACAAATGCTGCAGTCTGCAGAGGAGGAGACAATCAGTAGATGGCCACCTCGCTCACAAACCTCCAAGGAAGTTATCCGGTCCTCGTGAGGTTGGAATGATCTTATTAGCGTTGGGGGTTGTGTGACTTTGTTCTCACTGGAATTAAGACAGTAGTCCTGAAAAAAACAAATTTCAGAACTTTAAAAATCCAAATATTAGCTCAAAATGGCATAGCACTTGTTCTAAAGCCTGATACAAAAATGAAAAATGTATATTTGATAATAACCATCTGTGATCCAAATGCAAAAGAGAGTTCATGATAACAGAGGGTAGAAAAATGGCATTAACATTAAAAATAAAGCAGCTTCTCACTAACTTGATTGACTTGGGAAGTAGAAAGAAGAGAGGGAAGAGAATGGAAAGAAAATGATGAATAGTAATTTGATAGAGAGGAACTTTACTTTGTATTGTTAATCACATATTATATAATATTATAATGTTATTCAAAAACTGAACATGTAATCAGTGATTAAAAAAAGAAAAACCAAACTAGCTCTTGATGGCAATAATATTAGTTGAAGTTCCAGTACTTCTAAATTACATTTATAATCTCATTCCAAATAAAGTATCACCCAATTATTACATTTAAATGATGCTGCAGTACGTTGCTGACAAAATTGCATTACTAAATTGGGTGTTTGACTTGACTATATATTAACAGCTTTCCAATACTGAGAAAAATCTGGCTTTCCCAATTACTTGTTTAAAAGAAGTCTCTGCTCAATGTACATGCTTTCTTTAAAATACTCAAAACTGAGTATTTCTTCCTTTAAGAAACAGACAAGACCCAATCCATATGATTGAATATAATTTTATTAAATTTTTGTTTTCTGCAACTAGAGGCAATCAAAAACATTAAAAACAATGGGAAACTAATTTCAATTTACCTCTATATTCCAGATTTTCAAACATCCATCAAGATCTCCTGTGGTAAGGTATCGGTTCAATTTATCAATAGACATAATAATGGATCCGGCTCCTCTGTGGGCCAAAAACTCAGCCAGAAGTTGTTTCTTAAACGTATTCCAGAATCTGACATAACCAGACCCACCACATGATATCAGGTTAGCTCCTCCTTAAAAGAAATGGAAAACCTAATAACGAAACTGGAACTACAAATACCAGAAAATAACTTCCTCAAGTGGCTTTCCCTGTGTCAAGAAAGCATGTGGCATTAGAGAGGTGATAGCACTCAGAACAATTTCCAGTTCCACTTTGATGCTCTAGAATACAGAATGGAAATAAACCTATAATCATGCCACCCTTTTGTGTTAAGTAGTAAATGAGAGAAGATACATAAGATATTTCATTATATTTAGTTTTCTTTCCTTTATTTATTACTCTAATGTTATTTTGTTTTTTTTAAATATGGAATTAAGTTTTCTTCAAAATAAAATTATAAAATATTAATTTCAACATAATAATAATGTTCTGATTTCACAAAACTTATTTTTCCTAATCACTTATTGGACATATACATGAAAGAAGTAAAAACCCTGGTACACAAAGTTAGAGGCATGTATATGTGATAAAAGTGTAGCTATTAAGTTCTCTGTTTGCAGCAAGCTTAGAATTGTGTTTTTGGGCTTGTTTTTAAATTTTTCATCAAGAATTTATTGTAAGCCCTTATGGAACGCTTTTTTGGTTAATAGACCTAGAAATAACCTTTTCACTTTCCATTTTTATGTGCTTTGTAGAAAGCACTTTACCTAAATTATTCTTCTGTGGCAAAGTTCCTATTATCTGATAAATCTGTAGATGACTTCCAATTTCCTTCACAAATGTACTGGTGATTAACAATCATATCTGTTTAAGATAGAAATAATGGCATGTAGTCACTTCAGTGGAAACAATTTGGGAATACTGATATCATTAAGAAGAATTAGTGTTAAGGAAATGAGAGTAATTTTAGGATAATAGTTCATATTGTGAGTATAAGTGGGTTCTAGAAAATAGAAAGTTTTATAATCTGTTCCAGGTCCATTTTAAATATTCCACAATGTTCCTACAACATTGATGATGAAAAGATTTCTATGAATATCATGCAGTTTTTCCATTTGCAAATTAAATATGGGAAAGAAAAATAGAAAACATGATTTAGATATGCTTAGCTCTTTTTTCAAACATATAACTCATAAGTTTAGATCTCTAATGTCAGGTAAATATACTTATACATATAATTCCTACTATTTAGATGAAAGTTCAAACACATGCATTATTCTCAAAAGCAGATTTTTATTGAGAACAATGCAATCTTCTTTGAAACCATGCTACTACCGCAACTGAAAACAGAGAAAATCAGGCAAATGGGTGTTTCACCAGTATAATATCAAATAACTACAGTAAATCATCTGATGGCACCAGTGTTGGCATTCATCTCAGTAGAAATTAAACCAAGATTCTGACTTATTCTGGAAAATATATACAACTATTCAAGATACTCAGATTATGAGAGAGAGAGAGAGAGAGAGAGAGAGAGAGAGAGAGAGAGAACGAACACAGGGAGTTCTCATCCTTGGATCAGCAGTTATTTCAGAATTTGTCATTGCTCCAGCATCCAAGCCCATCATTATGTTCTCCTTTGACTCTTTTTATGTTTGGGGCATGTGTCTTTAGCTGTGTCTCCTCCCCTGCTAAGGTCTCTCTTCCCTATGGCTGGGACACCAATTTCAATCATTGCCCATAACAAATAGTTTGTCAGAATTTTCCTCACTCTGATCCTGTTATACACAGCACTGGATAAATTAGTCATCACTTCTAGTCTGGCTCCCACTTCTGTACCCATCCTCCTGTGGCCTCCCATGACTCAGGAATGACTTGTTAGCTACACGGAGTCAAATGCTACAAGACCTAAATAGAAATAGATTGAACATTTTTATTGCTTCCCTTCTCAACCACAGGCAAACTATAAACACATCTTTTACCTGTGGTTGCATTGGTTTTCCTTGCTTCAAGGAAGCAAAGCCTCATAACAGCATTGTTACCCTCGGTGTCAATCTCCAAGGTGTAGGCTGCCAGGGTGGCCTGATCTGCCATGTGGTACGAAGAGGGGCTCTTCTCAGCACTGAGAAGATCTTGAGGCTCTGTATCTGTCGTGAAGACAAAGCCAGGTGTCTTAATGAAGAGAAGCATATGTTGTTCAAACTAGTACATATGGAAACAACAGGCCCATGTCAGTCACCGTCTCAAAACAGACATACAGTCAACACCCATCAAGTTTCCTGCTATTCATTTCCTCAACTTGAAGGATTATTTGATTTAATTTTTGTCTTTCATATTCCACATACACCATGTTCTCCCTTGACAAGAATTAATATGGACTTCATACTATAGTCACTGCTAACATCTCAGAGATTTTTGACATGCTCAAGACAAATGTGTTTTTAATAATACGGCATTTCCAGCTTATTAATCATTAATAATAATCTTGTAAATATTGTAATGAACATGAAGTCTAATGGATATTTTTACAAATTTAAATGAGCATTTTTAGCAATGCTGTTAGTTAATTACCTTAGAGAGGACATCCTTAATGGTACTTCCAGTATGCACTAATACCATCTCTAGGCTACACTAAAGAAAACTGAGGAAAATCATCAGCAAATCTATGACTAGTCTGCACATAGTCATGAAAAATATCTACAGAGATATCTTCAAAGTTGCAAAGCAAGAAATCTAGAGATATGTTCTTTGTATCTTTTATAAATTTGGAGTTATTTATTTTTATATCGTATTTATTTCTCTGTATATTTAATGGTAGCTGCAATTGGTTTGCTATAGGTGTCAGTGCTGTCTTGAAGGTGCATGTAGAGGAAAAAGCAGATACCCACCCTTTCCATGGAAGGCTCAGATGAACACTTATAGTAAGCTCTTTGTACTTGAACAGGTCAGGCCTGTGTGCCTGCAGCTAAGTAATCCTCAACCTCTTAAATTGGTTTTCTTACTCTCCATAAATCACTTCCTCAGCTTTTTCCAAACAACTGCATCTGATGACCAGTGCTTTCCTAAGTTGAATTCATTCTCTGTGAGCTTATCCAATTGAGACAACAGAACCTGGCCCGACCATGAGGAATGACATATTCATTGCCTGAATAAATTAGTCTAAGGAAATACCTTTAGTATCTAAGGAAATTCAAATAAAATGTGAAAGGCAATTGTCAAGGTATTTTGCTTAAGTCTAAAATATTCATGTGCTCTGCTAAATTCCCATAAAGTACAACATAGTTCTGTCTAATGCTCCTCATAGATTTCTAAAGCAAGGAATAATTTAAGATTTCCAGGTGGTATAATATTTAATAGAAGCTCCAGATTGAGCCTGAACAGCCAATCAAGTGAACACAGTTCCCATTTTCCTACCAAGGGGTACCCAAGGTTCACTCAAAGGCAATTTGGCAAGGTTTATTGGCAAAAACTGAACTAGATAAAAATGAGAGGCCTGCTCCCTGCTGTCAGTAATACAGAAATGCTGATGTAGCATAAAGAGAAGAAACAACGTGCCGAGGAGAATTTGCTAAGCCAAGTAAATCTCAAGGTTCTTTTTTAGTCACTTTGACAAGACAACATTATCCTAATCCTTTGTGCTTATAGCTGATCATCTATAATTCAGCAGTAAGCTGCATTAGATATAGGCATAAACAACCAGCCCTACCATGGTCTGACTCAGTCACATTTTAGTTTCAAATTTGCACTCACCTGATTTTGATTTTAGCAACCTCTGGTAATCAGGGTGAAGTACATAGTGAGCATTTTCTGTGCTATTGTTCCACAGAACAATTTCTCCATCATAACTCCCTACATGAGCCATGATAAAGAATATAAGTTGCCAAAAATTTAGATAGAAAATACACGCAATAGTAATTTGAATACATTATCAATGCATCATACATATAATCTGGCATATAGCAGGCATTCTCTCTATATTTTTGGAGACATGCATATAAATAACTGGTATTTTTTACTAACTTTAGACTTACATTCCTCACAGAGTAATCTATGTAGTAGGTGTATAAAAATAACATTTACCTTCTTTTACTTTAGAGTAATAAAATGTTTAGAATAAAGGCTTTGCACTTAAACAATTTAAGTTTCCATCCGAGTTCTGCCACTTATTAGTTGTGTAACTTTGCACATGATATTTAACTCTACTTGATGCCACAATTTCCTCATCTACAAAACTGGGTTAATAATTGTATTTCTCTTACCAGGTTGTTGTGAAGAATGAAAAGTATTTAGAATAGTGCTGAGCACACTGTAAGAACCGAAAAGTGTTAATTATCATTTTACTCTTTTTATTATTAAAAACAAGCAAACCAAGTCCTCCTAGATTTCTGTTCCCCACGCTCTTGGTGCGCACGCACATGTGTGTGTTCTTTCCTTGCATTAAACACTGCAATCTGAAAACCTAAAATTCTCCCTGCAGAAAGTACTCACTATTTCTCTTCCCAGGGAACAGAGAAAAACTCAAGAGTGAGGCTAAGTTGACTAAAACCTATCTTGTGGAGAAAAACTGCAGCAAGGCCCACATCACCACGTTCAATGGCTCCAGGAGGACTAACAGAGTCTTTGGCAGAGTGTCAATGGCAAGTGTAGGGTTGAGTTTGAGTGGAACCTACAGATGGTGACTTCCTTGAGATCTGGGAAGAGTCGAGAGAAATGCACACAAAATTCTGTACTGTCTGGAAGCCGGTCATGGTAGCACACACCTGTAATCCCAGCAGCTCAGGAAACTGAGGCAGGAGGATTTAGAGTTCAAAGCCAGCCTCAGCAAAGGTGAGGCACTAAGCAACTCAGTAAAACCCTGTTTCTAAATAAAATACAAAATAGGGCTGGGCATGTGGCTCAGCAGTCAAGTGTCCATGAGTTCAATCCCTGGTTGTCACCCTGCCCCCCCCCCCAAAAAAAAATATTTCTATACTATTCTGGAAAGGGCAGCCTGTATAACTCAGAAATTGGCTAAACAGATGAATTTCAGATATCCACAGCATATCCATGTTCTCTTCATGATGTTTAAATTTTCTGTTTGTGAAGTGCTTGACCAAACATTTGCACATAGAACTAACAGAAGGGTAATGATTATCTATCCACCAATACAATGGTATTTTATGACACTATAACAACTGCACAACTTTCGAGTTCACTGTCTCCATCACAATTCAGGAGGTGATCCTCCCCGAAGGTAAGGATTTTCAGTAGCTGTAAAGTGGATTCAACTATAGAGTTAGCCCTACCAGAGGACAATCAGGTAAGTCCTAAAAATATTAATGGAACCTTAAATGTGGATCAGTAAACCTCATAGAGTGACACTTTAGCTCTTCTCCTGCATGTTTTCATTCCTCTTACCTGATGACATCTTGGATTCCATAAAAAAAAATTAAGCTGTCAAAATACAGACATAAAAATTTCAATGTATCATCTGTTTCTATAATTGCTCTTATAACAGTTTTCAAACCCTTTAATATATTACATCATCAAAGTATGCCAATGGGATGGTATTAAGAGCTTAGATTTGTACATTTTGTGAGCTGAATTACATCAAGGGGTTAAAATGTTCCCGTTGTGAAACATCTGAGTACCACCAAGGTGTGATTTGTACTCAACCATTATAATGCTACTCTTGGAAAATGGACAATAAAAATTAAAGCTAATAATCATCGATGTGCTTCTTATATGCCAAGCACAATGATAAACCCTGACACAAGTCATTTGTAGTTTAAAACTATAGTATAAATATATAATTATTAGCCAGAGGAAACTATAATTTAAAGTATGAGTAACTCTCACAGTATCTTGCTGTGGCAAGTGGCAGAGCCGGGATGAGAAGCTGAAGAGCCCACCATAGGAGCTGACACTTATCACCATTAATATATTGCCCTAGAAATAAGGACTGAAAGGTGATTTAAAGGCAAGCACAGCTTCTTCGGGAAATCTATTCATTTTGCACTTGAGAAAAGTTTTTTTTGTTAAAGTGAACCAGAACAAACCGAACTGCCTGCAGCCAGTTGTGAAGGTTCCGTTTACCTGTAGCAAGAGTTTGTGGAGGTAAAAAGGCAGCACACAGGATGTCATCTTGGTGCTGTATTCCACCTTTCCATTCTTCAGGCTGGATGAAAAATCGATTGAAGTTTTGGGGTCGAAACACAGTAATAGCTCTAGTAAAAAGGATATAGAATTTATCTGTGAATCTGAAATTGATACAGGTACTGAGTAGCCATTATCCACTTGAGTGGTGTGATTTGAGAAGTCTAAAATACTATGTTGGGGTTGGTGATATAGTTCAGTGGCAGAACACTTGCCTCGCACAACAAATGGCCCTGAATTTAATTCTCAGAACCAAAAATAAGTGAATGAATAAAAATAAATCAATAAATGATTACACTGACCCAAATTTTATCACCAATTGTCATCTACAACATTTAGCTTTCCCCTTGTTATGGTTTAGATCTGAAATGTTCCCCAAAGTCATATGTGTTGAAGACATGGTCCCCAATGCAGCAATATTCAGAGATGAGATTTTTAGAAAGTGACTGGATCAGTAAGGCTGTGGGTTAATCCATTTAGTGGATTAATAATTTGAATGGACTACTGGTAGGTAGTGGAAACTATAAGCAATGAGGAAATAGATTAGTGGGACCATGCCATTGTGGACTATATCTTATCCCTAGTCCCTCTCCCTCCCCCTCTTCCTCTCCTTCTCCCTCTCCCTCTCCCCCTCCCTCTCTTTCACTTTCTCTTTCCCCCCAAGCCCTTCTTGGCTTTCATAAACTGAACAGCTTCCCTCCACCATTCCCTCCCTCTGCCTCATCTCAGGCCCAAAGCAATGGAACCAGCCAACAAAGACTGAAACTTCTCAAAACATAAGTCAAAATAAATCTATCCTAGGGCTGGGGGTGTGCCTCAGTGGTAGCGTGCTCACCTAGCACACGTGAGGCACTAGGTTTGATCCTCAGCACCACATAAAAAAAAAATGAAATAAAGATCGTGTGTCCACCTACAACTAAAAAAAAAAAGAATAAATAAATAAATAAATCTATCCTACTTTGAGCTGTTTTTCTCTGGTATTTGTCACAGCAACAACAAAATTAAAATGACTAACAAATAACTTTCTTCTGGATTCTCTCACTGAATTCTCTGGTAAATCATGAATATTTAACAACTGGGAATTAATTATTCGTTTATAACCATTAACGCCAAACATATCCATTTATTGGATTAATTATTCATTTCCAAAACCCTAAAACACAGTTTCCCCATACAAGTATAATGAAACTAGTGAAAGTTTTATAGTAATAATAATAAAAAGTAGGATAGATCTATGAATACTCTTAGGTAGTTTAAGCAAAATCAATAAAGTTTCTCTCCTCAAAGCATCTCAGGACATTTAACATATTCACATTTTCTACAGTATTTCCCATACTTAGGTGGTTTCATATCTATTCTCTTGGAGTATACTCCATCTTAAAGTGGAACTCATTTGGAAAATACCATTCCAAAGAAATGGGATATAGGACAGATACATTTTGAATAAAAGAATAGTAAGCATCTTGGAGCACTGCTAACAAATTTCAGAACAGACTAGAATGGGTAGAGAATGAAATGCCTGGTTCCTAGTTGGGAAGAAAATATTGTTGATATTAAATTGTAGGGCCATCAGTACCACCTTGTTTCTACTGGGTCTGAGCTCTGTTTGCCAGCTCATACTAAGCCTCTTCTTCCTTCTAGAGCCACCCATTTCTCAAATGAACATTGGAAACCCTAAGATTGGTGTCTTCACTATCATCCTCTCTACACCTTTTTTAATTGTGCTTCTCTTCCCACAACTCTGAGGTCTCCTGATTGCTCTAACAGTTACCTTCTCGGCCTCGGATGGAGATAACTTTCTCCCTCTCCTTGGAACTCCTCTGTTTTCAGTACTTCTTGCTTCTCTTTCTGTCTCTTTATCTTCCATTCCTTAGTCTCTGCTACCCTATCCCTTCTTTATCTAGCCCCTTTAATATGGTTATTCTTCAATGCCTTTCTTCCACTCTTCTCTATCTGTTCAAACTGGCTTAATCAGAGATCCTCTGTACAACCATGGTTCCAGGCTCACTTCTGTATGAATGCTCTTAAGCTGATTTCCATTCATAACTTCTGCCAGGTGTTGAATAATATCCATTTGCCAGTTTACAGTTCCATACAATGCTTCCATCAGCAAACGATATTACAAAAACATCAAAAAACAAACTTTGCCATCTTCCCTCCCCATCAGTCCTCCATCCTGATTCCCAAATAAACCAGTATTATAGCCTCCTGTGTGTAGTTCTCTCCCCAGTCAAATCAAATACTTACATTTTGCCTCTGACATATGTTACATAGCTATTCCTTCCGTTCTTAAAATTTTTAAACTGCCAGGGACAGCTTTCTAGGCCAGTGCACAGTACTTCATGGTTGAACAATTACAACAGCCTCCTACCGGTTTCACTGCTTCCAGTTCGCCCTCCTCTAGTATATTCATCATCCTGCTACTAGATTACTCATTTAGTTCTGGGGCTCTCAAGGTCCATTCATTCTATAAACATGTCTTGCTCCTGTGTTAAATTTCCGGTTAATGGTCTTACGGGTTGAGAGCTGTGTGTTAGTCTGCTTTTCGTCTCTGTGACCAAAATATCTGACAAGAACAACTTAGAGGAAGAAGAGTTTATTTTGCTCACAGTTTCAGAGGTTCAGGCCATGGACAGCGGACTTCAATAGCCCTGGGCCTGAGGCAAGACAGAACATCATAGCAGAAGGGCATGGAAGAGGAAATGCCCTTGCTCAGCTCAGAGCAGCCAGGGAACAGAGAGAGAAATTAAGGCACCAGAGACAAAATATAAACTTCAAAGGCATCAACCCAGGGACCTACTGCCCCCAGCCACATCCTACCTGCCTACAGTTACCACCCAGTATAGCAGTCCTTTGAAATGGATTAATCCATTAGCAAATGCATCAACCCAGGGACCTACTGCCCCCAGCCACATCCTACCTGCCTACAGTTACCACCCAGTATAGCAGTCCTTTGAAATGGATTAATCCATTAGCAAATGGATTAATCCACTGATTAGGTTATAGCTCTCATAATTATTTCACCTTTAAACATTCCTGCATTCTCATGCATGACCTTTCAGGGAACACCTCATATCCAAACCATAATAAGCTGTGAGCATAAACTTAACTAAAATGCAATGTGAAAGGTGGTAAGTAGTAAGGAAATACTAATCAAATGATTTGAGATTCCTGAGTACAAGTCACAAAGGGTGCTGGCAGCAAAAGGGCCTAGTTAAGGCCTGATATTTAAAATGGGCCATAAAAGATGTGTAGGACTTTAAAGAGGAAAGCAGTCTAGGTAGAGAAAATATGATAAAGATGAGGCTAATTGCCTTGTTTAAGAATATTTACTAGTTTTTCATTTCCTACATGACAAAATTCAAACGTGGACCTGTTTTTCAAGACCCAATAACATATAGGTCCTCTCTACTTCTTTAGAATTATCTATCAGTTCTTCTATTCTTCCTTTTCAACATTATATGTGAATATCCAACTAACTACTTGGCAGTGACCCTAGAAGCCATAGGGTAAATATGGCATAATTGTGTCTTATACAGTGTTGTAGAAAATATTGTTTCCATTTTTTAAAAAGATAGATTAAATCATGCAATAAAATCCAAAGTTTGTCTACATTTTTAAGACAGAAGTCAAATTCAAATCAATTTCTTTCTTTCAAGACATGTTTTGAACTGTTGGGGGTATTTAGGGGCTAAGTTTCTGCAGTACAGTTTCTTGTCCAACCCAAACCATATTTTTTAATTAATTTATTTTTTTAGTTGTAGATAGACACAATATCTTTATTTTATTCATTTATTTTTATGTGGTGCTGAGGATCAAACCCAGTGCCTCACACTTGCAAGGCAAATGCTCTACCACTGGGCTACAACCCCAGCCCCCCAAACCATATTATTGTTCTCTAAGCACCCTTTATGTTTCTGGTACTGTGTTTTTACTCATGGTATACTCTTCTATCCCCCTGTGGATTTTCATCCACATAGATCCCACATCTACCCATCCACACACTATTCTCTAAGTCCTATCTTACTCTAGTATTCTCTGTAATAACTAAGATTTAAAGAAAAAGTTCTTTCTTCTGACCTCTTACATCATTCACATTTCACTCACAATATTTACTCTTACATTATTTCAACTAGATGATAGATTGTAAGTTCTTAGAAATTGGGATTTTGTTTTATTCTGTAAACCACAGTAGCCAAGATAGTGATTCACATATGTGGAGTGTTCAATAAATATCTGACAAAGGAGAAAGGAAAAATTGTCTGCTTAAATGTCACATCCTCGGGTAACACTTTCCTGACTACCCTATCTCAAGACTCTCCCTTGGGTCTCTCAGCCTGTATCAATATAAAAAATATTTTCTTTTTTTAATTAATTAACAATTTTAATATTAATATTACTTGAATAATATTGTTAAGATTTAATCAGATATTATAGCTAAGATAATTTTAAGTAAAATTACACTTTAATAGGGTATCCTAGAATAGTTGCTGGTATGTTTGGCTGAGAAGAGTTTCCTTTGAGGATGGAGAGTGTGGGGTGAGAATGAGACGAAAGATTTCAATCCTACACCTTTATCTCTAGGCCAGAAATCAGAGTCAAATGTCTTTACCAAGAGAGTCATATTAAAGATCTATACTAAATATATTCAGGAAACACCCCCCAAAGGAACAAAACGCATTTCATGTGATGGTGTAAAAAGTAGCCCTTCTGGTATTTGACCTTATGTGTCAAGATTTTTTTTTTAAAGCCTAACCTGAAACTTTGATTTGAAATGACAGTTGTCCTGAAAATACCTTAAGAATCCACACTGTGGTTCTCATTTTTTCGATTTCTAAGACAATTTTTTTTTAATTTGTACTTTTGCCAAGAGTAAAATTAAAGTGCAGAATGAGCCAATTTTTAGGCCATTTTCAGAGTCTGAGAGTCTTGTTCCCTTTAGTATGAGGAGTTTACCAGCTCCCTCACACACCTCACATCTGAAATCCTGAGAGCATTCCTACAGAGCCATTTCATCATCTTGTGAAGAGGAATGCATAATCTAATTCAGAATTCTGATATGATGGACAAT